GATGAGAAGGAGCAACACACTTGAGCTAACAGCACCGTGCGTGTTCGCAATAGGAAATGATAAATAAGCCACGAATAATAAGTGGAAATGGAGATTGAATTACTTACGAAGCGAAGAGTAATTTGAAACGTTTTAAGCTCGGGGCTCGAATTTGGGGGTAGAAGAGGTAAATAAGTAAGCAACCCCGTTGGAGGATCTCCGAGAAACGATCGCGTATCACTTACACGGTGCGTGAGGACGAAAATTTCCGAAAATGTAGACGCTATTCGAGCTACATCAAAGTAGAGAATACCCTCATAGAAAGAGTTAAGACAACGCGACTTATGGATGTCACAAACGGGAATAAAGATTACACAAATTGAACGTTTCTCGTAATCTTTGATCAACTCATTACCGAATTCCTGTCGCCCTCCCTTCTCTCATTCCGTTTGTTTCTTGCCGTGCCCCCAATGGACTACTAGACAAGGTACGAGTTAAAGGATTCTGATACATGTTTCTTAACCAGAATTTCACGTAGAGCACGACTCGCGCAATGAAAATTACCGAAACCAACTCCTAACGAAGATATTAATGATTTTCTTTCACATTGGTTACAAGAAATTTGAACTGCCCGCCCACAAGAAACTCAAAGTTCTACGCGAGTCAAATCGCGCACTAGAACGGTTTCGGCAATCTTCTCTATCGAGCAGTGTTCATTTCTCACCATGTGTTGTTCAAACTATAAGCAATTTGCTATAGCTGAGCCAAAGCGTCAAGATCGCGGTTGCCAGATTTTTATATCGCAGAGACTGTCATGAGGGCGTGTAGCGCGCGATGTGAATCACGTAGAGTACCTATTGAGTTTTCATAAACGGGTGGTTTGAATTCACGCATCAAGAATCATTAAATATCTTCGTAAGGAGTTGATTTCGGAAATTTTCGTTGTGCGCATCGTATTTTACGTGAAATTTTGGCGAAGAAACACGTATCAGAATGCTGAAATTCGTACCTTGTCTAGTGGCCCATTCCCCGGTCCATTCCAGTTTATAATCTTTGCAATTGGTGAACATGTAATCTTCGTTCCCGTTTGTGACACTGTGGATGGCCGAAATACGAGAAACCAATCGGAAATCGATTCTTATTGTCTTTATTCGGTACAGAAGGACAGTATAACTTCGACCGGAGAGTGACGACATCTGCTAAAATCAATTCATTTTTTATCCTGAGCATTTCATTTCTGGATAGAATATTTCGTCTCGGAACGCCATTCGAAGCGGGTCCCGTAAAAAGAAAGAAGAGCTCTTAAATAAAGGAGACTTTATACTACTTGACGAGACTTGCAACTATTGGAGCGTGCTCCAATAGTTGCATTACCCGGTCGGANCCCCGCTGCATCTAATCATGCCGAAAGCTGCGTCTTTCTCCGCGATCCACTGTTGACGGTTCTTGACGTTGACTGAGGCGAGGCATTCATTGCCTCCCTCCTCCAGTCACCAACCGCCGTGTTGGAAACTTGTGCTGACCTGCTCTACCATCATAGCGAAGAGAGCAGTAAATGTCAATCCGGAATCGAGTTTCCTTCAAAATTCGTCTCAACTCTTTTAGATGAAATTCATCTTAATTGTATCAAAACGAGACACGTGAGAAGGCCGCAAAGTGCGCAAAAAATGACGTGGTTTCAGGCGAGACAGCAGTAAGTGATAATATTCCTCCAGAGAGCTAATAAAAACAATACTTCGACTACATTTTGCAATTTGGAACTATAAATTCTGGCTCTTCTGGAAAAACGCTCATGTGCATAGGGAAACTAATGGCACGTACGTCGTTTTTAAACCGGGGTAGAATTTATAGTTCCAAAGTGCAAAATGCAGTGCACTTCAAGTTAAGTGCCGCCCTCTTCTGCTAATCTCTAACCTGAAAATGTGTTTGATTAGTGTCCAAAACGCGACTACGAAAGCATGCAGAAGATAGCACCTACGGCTGTCTTGCCTATCAATAACCTAGCATGGGAATGAAAAATACCTTTGTCATGTCATTGAAATGAAATCAGTCAATTTTTAATCATTCAAACGAATTTTAGGAGTCTTTCGGATGATTAGCGGCAATTTGACAAAGAATGGAGGCTTCTTTCGATAAAATTTTCCTCTCAAACGCTAGCGAGACAATTTCTCAAAACTTCAATTTTGTACCAATGGTTCTCTTCCCTAAAATGGCAGAGTATTCCACTACCGGCGATTCGTGCCGTGGAACGCGAGTGGGCGGGGTGCACCTCAAAACAAGGTGTAAACTCCAGCAGGCGCAGTGTAGGCAATTTGCGCATCGGGATTTATGCGTAACGGTGTAGCGTTTGAAGTATCTCTAGGATGTCGAAGGCGCTATATGTGGTCCGCGCCGGTGAGCCTTTCATTGCCCGCGACAATTATTATTTGATTACGCCGATGCGAGGCAGATTTGCAGCTCGATTGTTGAATGGATATCAAATGACCTTAATCGATATAAAGGATTGCTAAGATATTGATTTATCGATCAGGGTCATTCGATAAAGATTCAACAATCGACCCGCAGATGTGATGTGGACATCGGTGGATCCAGCAAATTGGCAACATTGTTTTTCTCCATTTAAACCTATGGAAATGTATCGATTCTTGGAGGAACCAGTTAGTAGACCAGACAGGAATCGATTATTTAACATAGGTTTAAATGGAGAAAATCCGGTGTTGTCAAATTGCTGGATCCGCCTCTGAATGTAAAGGATTCTGAAAACTAAAGTGATGAAGTTCTCAGGTTATGAGTGAGAGGAGGAGCAAACCCGAGCGGAAACGGAAGTCGAGTCTTGAGCGTCGTCAGCTGTGCCTCGATCGCAAGGCTGCCACGTCGGACGATTAAATCGGGATTTACGTGGGTGTAGATGGGGACCAGTGGCGGATAGTCATGACTACCCGCGGCAACAATGCTCGGTCGAGAATCTGTCGCGAATAGTGTTGTCATTCAGCGCGGAGTCCCGCAGGAACAAAGGGCATTTCCGGGGCCCCCGTCTCTGCCGTGCTAAGGAAGGGCGCTGTTTGAGCCTTATGACGTTGCCGTATTTCCTTCAATAAAAAACGAATTTACTTGGAAAATTTTTAGTATTTTTATTCCGAATCTTCAAAAAATGAGTCGCTAAACTTTTTGTTTTTAATTCAATTTTCTGAAAGTACCGGGTGAGTAGGCTATATTTCATTATTTTTTGGACCAAAATCCTGGAAAACCCCGCTTCTAAAAAGTCCAAAGACTCGAACGAATTTGAAACGCGGCGGAATGGCGAAAAAATGATGGAAGTGATGTATAGCGGCAGTCAAATCGCTATCTTCTCTCACTTTCCACTTCGTAGTTTTGCTTTCCTATTGTTTTCATGTGCGAAGAGTAGAAAGACGTCTGACGGAAGTCTAAAGCCCCTGCTTGCTTTTGATTGGTGCCGGATGACATCATTCGATTTAGAGTCCCTTTATACTGAGAGTTAAGACAATATGAATCCATTCCTGATTGGTTCCCGTATTTTAGGCCTCCACAGTGTCACAAACGGGAATAAAGATTACATTTTCACCGATTGCAAAGATTATAATCTGGAATGGACCAGGGAATTGCGGGTTCGGCAAGGAACAAACAGAATGAGAGAAGGATTGGAGAAAGGAATTTGAGAATGGGCCGATCAAAGATTACAAAAAACGTTCAATTTCTGTAATCTTTATTCCCGTCTGTGACTTCATGAGGGGATGTTGTCTTGACTCTCAGTATAAAAGGACTCTAATTCGATTCTGCGCGAAATCAGGGTGTTTTAAATTTGCGGAGCAGTTGCGCGTATTTCTCGGTTTCTGAGTTACTTCCTCACGTTTTTAAAGTGCGCATCGTGTTCGACCCGTCATTTGCCCTTAGGCAAATGTTTTTGCAAATCCAAATTCGTCTATGGTATAGTGACTCATTTTGTTTCCGATTTACTCTAAGAGATCTGAAAAATTCAAGGAAAACCATGCATATTTAATCTCGAAAATGCTTATTTTATCCGGGGAAATTTGGCAATTCTCGAAGAATCATACGGCGTTTTTATGCCGGAGGAGAAGTTCCGAGGAGGTGAGAAGACATCGCGCATAGTGACAGGTTCTGCACTTACAGCGGATTTGACAGATCTCATGATGAATTGGACTTCATTTTGCAGATAGGAACTACAATTTCTGGCAGATAGATTGGAAACAACATACGTGCCATTAGTTTTCCTATGCACGAAAGTGTTTTTACAGATAAGCCAGAAATTATCATAGAAATGTTAACTATCACAGTTAGGAGTTATCTATACTATAAGCTCTGAGACCTCCTAATTTTGCGTTACTGGTAACGCTTAGTTCCAGCGTTCTACCGGGCCGATTTTCATGATTTTTGCGGCTATCGACGGGCAATTGTCTCTAGATGAGCCCGCTTTATTCAGATTTTCAAAATATGATCCAGGTTTTTTTACATTACGTGGTAAAGTTGCGAATTCTCCCATTTAAACAATGTAAATTTATGTTTTTTGTCATGGTTCGTTTGAGCGTTCTACCGGGCCGATTTCCATGTTTTTTTGCGGCTATCGATAGGTGATAGGCCCCAGATGAGCCCGCTTTAATCAGATTTTGGAAATAGGACCCAGGTTTCTTTTTATACATGAGTGGACCAGGAAGCTTAGAAGGGGGGCAATATTTGAAAATCCCGCCCATGGAAAATGGCGGGAATATCAAATTCTGCGTGAAGCGCCCCCTAAGGGTTGGATCACGTAGCGGCCAGGGGGCGTAGCCCCCTAGTTCTCAGCAATTTTCGTTGCCCAAAATGTTTTTGGCGTAAAATTTTAAGTAGAAAACATCTATCAGAATGCTTTAATTTGTATCTTGTCTACAGGTCCATTGCAATTCCTCAGATTTTTTTTTAACCCGCACCTCTTTCCACCGTGTTCTCACCCCCGCCTAGCAAAGAGTTCAGATCTAAATGCCAGACTTGTTCGGTCTCTGTTCCAGATAGGTATTGCCATCGGGTTCGTGGTGCCACCGGAGATCGTGAACGAGGCAGCCAACCCAGCAGTCATCGCTGAGCAACTCACCATGCTGTACCTGGGCATGGCCATAGCTCCGACCATAGTCTTTCTGCTCATCATCGTCTGTAAGTAATGTTCTGCGAGAATGCGCTCATGATTTTTCAGATAAATTAGTAAAATTTTAGCGGCTCTGGTGCTTGCACTAGAGCTGCTATTCCGGACGGTCCCAGCTGGGGAGTATCATTGGACCATGTTACATTGGAGAGACCGCGCGTTGGTTAATGGGAATCGGCGCCATTTTCGGCTATGTTCCTTGTCATGACTTTATTTTATTGCATATTGTTTTATTGTTAGCCAATGCTATGTTGTGTAGTGTATTTTTGGAATCATGGTGATACAGTCNGGGCATTTCCGGGGCCCCCGTCTCTGCCGTGTTAAGGAAGGGCGCTGTTTGAGCCTTATGACGTTGCCGTATTTCCTTCAATAAAAAACCGAATTTACCTGGAACATTTTTAGTATTTTTATTCCAAATCTTCAAAAAATGAGTCACTAAATTGTTTGTTTTCAATTTAATTCTCTGAAAGTACCGGGTGAGTAGACGACATTTTATTATTTTTGGGGCAAAAATCCTGGAAAACCCCGCTTCTAAAAAGTCCAAATACTCGAAGAAATTTGAAACGCGGCGGAATGGCGGAAAAATGATGGAAGTGATGCACAGCGGCTGTCAAATCGCTATCTTCTCTCATTTTCCGCTTCGCAGTTTCGTATCCCGATTGTTTTCATGTACGTGGAGTAGAAAGACGTCTGGCGGAAGTCTGAAGCCCTTGCTTGCTTCTGATTGGTGCCCGATGACATCATTCGATTCTGCGCGAAATCAGGGTGTTTTAAATTTGCGGAGCATTGCGGGTTTTTAACTGCGTATTTCTCGGTTTCTGAGTTACTTTCTGTAAAACTTTTTGAATTTTTGCGCTCCACTAAACTCCAAATTTAACCTTCCCCCTCAACCCTTTTGTATTTTCACTGATGTAACCTTGATTTCCATGTGAATACACAGAGGTGTAAATGGCCTTAGATACTAAAGCACCGCTTTAAAAGAAACTTATCTTACTACTACTATTCGCGTTTTTAAAGTGCGCATCGTGTTTGACCCGTCACTTGCCCTTAGGCAAATGTTTTTGCAAATCCAAATTCGTCTATGGTATAGTGACCCATTTTGTTTCCGATTGTTCAACTATGCATATTTAATCTCGCAAATGTATATTTTATCCGGGGAAATTTGGCAATTCTCTAAGAATCATACGGCGTTTTTATGCCGGAGGAGAAGTTCCGAGGAGGTGAGAAGACATCGCGCATAGTGACAGGCTCTGCACTTACATAGTGGATTTGACGGATCTCATGATGAATCGGACTTCATTTTGCAGATAGGAACTACAATTTCTGGCTTAGATTGGAAAGAACATACGTACCATTAGTTTCCCTATGCACGTAAGTGTTTTTACAGATAAGCCTGGCATTATCATAGAAATGTTAACTATCACAGTTAGGAGTTATTTTCAGCAATTTTCGTTGTCCAAAGTATCTTTGGCTTAAAATTTCAAATTGAAAACATGCATCAAAATGCTTTAATTTTTAGCTTGTCTACAGGTTCATTGCAATTCCTCAGAATTTTTTTTTAACCCGCACCTCTTTCTACCCTGTTCTCACCCGCGCCCAGCACTGAAAAAAAAATCTCGGTGTATTTACCAAGAAAAGGGTAAAATTACAAAGAATTCAGGGTTCTATTTGATCCTAGTTTTTTCTTGGTAATTTTACTGGACCTTGGTAAAAACGCCAATATTTTTTATCGACTGTGGTAGAATTACCAAAATAAAATGGCAAAGTTACCGGGAATTGATTACCAATAAAAGTGGCATTCTTACCTGAGAAAAACAGTAAAAATACCGGTTTTTAGGTAGCGTCTTAGTAAAATTACCAATAATTGGTAGAAAAAAGTGAGATGGTAAAGGTACCAACGGACCTTGGTAAAAACGTCGAGAATTTTTTTTCAGTGAGCAAAGAGTTCAGATCTAAATGCCAGACTTGTTTGGTCTCTGTTCCAGATAGGTATTGCCATTGGGTTCGTGGTGCCACCGGAGATCGTGAACGAAGCAGCCAACCCAGCAGTCATCGCTGAGCAACTTACCATGCTCTACCTGGGCATGGCCATAGCTCCGACCATAGTCTTTCTACTCATTATCGTCTGTAAGTAATATTCTGCGAGAATGTGCTCGTGATTTTTTCTGCGAAAATCTTATCTGATTTTTGAATGAGATTAAAATCAAGAAAACGCTGAGAAAACAGCACTGGAAACAAACACATTGGATTTAGAGTCCAGACTCTTAAAAACATCGACAAGAAAAAGTACTCTTGATTCGATCGGAATCTTGCTTAAATCAAGAACCAAGCCTCTTAATTCAAGCGGATTTCGTTTTGATTCAAGCAAAAATTGAAACAAGACTATTTTTTCTTGTCAATGTTTTCAAGAGTCTGGACTCTAGATCCAATGTGTTTTTTTTTCCAGTGAGCTTGAACAAAATTCGGGATTNTGTACATCAGTGACAAAATGTGTCTAGGCCCTCATTCTTGACTACAACTACTGTCGCCAGAGCCGCTCTCCGACGCGAATGCGTTGGAGCTTCCTGCTTGTTTAAAATTTAAAAAGATCTTATCAATAAAAATTTAAATTTCTGTTAAAAACTAGGATCAGATACCCTATTATTTAGAATAATTGTAACTGAAGCAGTAAAAGAGAATCTTCAAACTCAAAAAAATTTGGTGGTAGTTCAACCTAACTAGAGGAATCTGCTCTGTGAATGAGATTAAAATCAAGAAAACGCTGAGAAAACAGCTTGAACAAAATTCGGGGGGGGGAGATATTTCGCAGAAATACGACGGAAAAAATCAACAAGGTGTGAAAATACGAGATTAGATTTGTCTTATATCCATATTCTTACCGGAAAAGCGCTCGGACAATTTTTAATAAGTTAATCGGCTGGGTCACGCGCCGAAAAGATTCTTCCGAAAGGGCGGGATTTTAGATTTTATGCACGGTTTTTTCAAAGCCCCTCCTCCTCCCTTTTGGCTCAGAATTGTTACGTAACGCTGGGATTGACTCCATCCCCCTCGTAGCGCACCGTAACCCTGGCTCAAACCATCCCTTCCCCCCTAAGTGCGTTACGTAATACTTGAACGGCCCCTTTTCACATGCAGATTTGGTCACATTTTCGTTTTCCCTCATTTTCAGACAGTGGTCCCATTCCATGTCCGTCACAAGTTCCGGGACTCGGAACTTTTTTTTCAAATTCCTCCCACTCCATAACCATCAAAAGTTTCAAGAAAGCTCCAGAAAATCAGAGACAAGAGACCCTCCACTGGCCTCTTGGCGACAGTTGGAAGCTTTTACTTTCGGGAACTCAACAGTTCCTTATGGATAATGATAAGGGAGCAACAGTCATCACCCTAATTTTGACTGTTGACCTACCTTCATGGTGGATGATGAGCTTCGGGTGACGTCATGAACCAAACAAGTTTCCCAAACTTCGGCCATTTTCGGCTTGTTTGCAAAACAAAACTGCCAACACGTTGTTAAACATCAACCATGTAGGTAAGTCAACAGTAGAATGCTGAAGTCCCGAAAGTAAAAGCGCTTCCACCACGGCCAAGATACTAGTGGAGGGTCTCTCGTCTCTGCGAAAAATGCAAGAGATCCGGAAAATGTCGGAAATTTCAAATGCTCCGGAAAAACTTTAACAAAATATCGAAAGTTCCGGAATTCGGTACTATAGTTCCAGGAAACGGAGCACTGTTTTCAGAAGGGATGAAAAACCCGTGAAGTGTAGCCAGTCACCGCGGCGCCAACCCCCGGTTTTGAATGCAGCTGCACGTCAGCGAAACCATCCCCCTTTCTTCAACCCCCTCCTCTCATCCTGCCCCCACCCCCGGCCCTCGACTCAAGGGCCCATCGAAAGATGATTTATTTTACCTATGAATAATGCAAGCATGGCGGGAGGCGGCGCGGCGGAGGCTAGGCGCCAACGGCCCGAGGGGTGCGCCGGCCTACATGCGTGATCATGCGTGACGCGTGATTCGGATCCGTTTTTATGGCCACTAACTACCCCTTCCCCTTCACTCACCCCCCTCCTTTCTGTGCCGTTTTTCGTGTGTGAAGAATCCACGATGTTGCCATTTTTGCCCGGAATCTGTGGGAGCCAGTGTTCGAGACTCACCTTTGAATTTTAGGAGCCATGTGGCGCATCAAGCCCAATTTTTAGGCGCCATTGAAGATTTTTTAGGTGCCAAATCGACTTTTTGCCCATATATTACGGCGCATTTAGTGACAAGTTGGACGCAAGATATTTTCGTAACAGAACTAGTAAGTAGCTGTAACTTGGGGAAGACGAAAGCACTAAGAGTGAAATCGTGAAGAATAGAAAAAGCTTTCACGTGCAGTGCTGGAAATTCTGAGTTTCTTTCATTCAAATAGATTTGTTTTTCTTTCTTCATGTGATTTCCTACGAAAATCGGCAGTTTTTTAGGGGGAAATTTTTAGGGGCCACGTTGCGTTGGCGCAGAGCCTTCATTTTTTAGGCGCTATGGCCGATTTTTTAGGCGCATTTATTGGCGCAATGGCGCGGCGCCTGTGAGTTTCAAACACTGGTGGGGCCATTCAAGTATTACAATAATAACAATATTAACAGCTGGTAACAAGGCTAATTATCACATAAATACCACCGAACGTTTCGGCTGAAGACTCAGCCTTCCTCAATTGGATAAAAACAGTAACAACTTTTAAAACTCTAAAAACTCATACTTGGCTGTACCTTTCAAAGCGAGAAAAATGTTGTTTTCCAATGTTGTATCAATGTGATAAGAACATTTTTCTCGTTTTGAAAGGCACACCCAAGTAATAGATTTTTAGATTTTTAAAATGTTTGCTGTTTTATCCAACTGAGGAAGGCTGAGTAGTATCGACCATTTTTTTTCGTATTTTGTATTTTTTGCGATGGTAAATCGTTGTGATCTCCAGCAATGATCTATTTCCAAAGTTATTCTGCTGAATGTTACTCGCACTGAAAAAAGAACACATTAGATCTAGAGTCCAGACTCTTAAAAACATCGACAAGAAAAAATACTCTTGATTCCATCATATTCAAGCTTAAATCAAGAACCAAGCCTTTTAATTGGAGCGGACTTCCTTTTGATCTAAGCTTAAATCTGATTGAATCAAGAGTCCTTTTTCTTGTCAATGTTTTCAAGAGTCAGGACTCTAGATCCAATGTGTTTTTTTTCCAATGCGATGTTTGGGAAAGTTGTCCTTTGTATGATACCATGTTAAGGACCTCCTTAAACTCTCCTTAGTCACCTCCTAAGGAAAGGAACCATTTGAGGAACGACTATGCATACGACTCTCTCTCATGGTGTAAAAATGTCGAATTACGCCTAAAGAAAGGCAGCAGGGAGCCTCTTCATCGCAGAACACGAACGTTCTCATGCACCGATTTGCGTTCGCGTGGGTGATCCCTATTCTGCCCCGAGGAATTGAAATGTTATCCCAGGCGGGAGAGCTCATGCATTTTTCGGGGGAAAAAGGTTATTAAGAGCCATTTTAAAACGCCCTTTCCACCATACAACATGGAAACGGATAGGGGAGCTTAACCGTGGACGACTTTTTGGAGCACGCTTTGAATAGCAGAATTTTTTGAATGCAAATCAATTGTGAGTTACCAAAAAATCACGCATCGCGGTTTAAGCGTTGCTAATTCTCCATTGTGCTATGGACAGCAGTAGACCTATCCACATGGAATCTTTTATGAGAAGCGTCTATCTTTAGCGGAATATTTGGTTTCAGGACGATGGAGATGTTGCATGTGTGAGGAATTTGCGATTTGACTGTTGATTTTTATGTGAAAGTTCGCGAGAAACACGATGGTGCTACTGGTTTTCTCTGAAATCATCTCCCGAGCTCAAAAAGACCTCTCAAGTTGAGGCCAAAATGGCGGGGATATCCCCCGCTATCCTGAGAGTCCACCTCTACACGAAGACATCAAACTCTCCATGCAAAGATAGGGAGCAAATACATTAGCAGGCTTGCCGTGTTTTCAGTTTTGGAGTCCCCAAATAAATTGGCAGCCCTATCAATGTATTTGCTCCCTATCTTTGCATGGAGAGTTTGTCTTGATGTAGAGGTGGACTCTCAGGATAGCGTGGGATATCCCCTTCATTTTGGCCTCGATTTGAGAGCTTTTTTTGAGCTTGGGAGATGATTTCAGAGAAAACCAGTGGCACCATCATGTTTCTCGCGAACTTTTACATACGAATCAATTGTCAAATCGCAAATCCCTCACACATGCAACATCTTAATTCTGCCGTGCTAAGGAAAACGCCGTATGAACTTCCACGTGTTGCCAAATTTCCATTCATGAAACACGAATTTCCTGGTAAACTTATGAATATTTGTCTTCTAATTTCTCAGATAGTGTTGTTTGCTAATTCACCTGAAAGTTGTTGAAACCGACGAGTTTGCGTTAGAAAGCACACAAAGTTCTATGGGGGCAAGGCTCATAGTGATATGAATCAGTGATTCGTATTTCAGGGCAGATTATGAAAAATCAGTATCGGAAAGTCGGTGAGAACGAAAAAACACCAACTCGGAAATTTTTAAACGCTTAATTCTCTGTCATCAAACATGGCGTATCGATCTCAACTTGGTGCTTTACAAAGTCTCTAAGTACTTGTCCTTCGGCACCAGAAAGGTTTTTCTTAAACTATAACTTCTTCGCCCGTTGCGCAGTTTTAGGTGTTTCCTGAACAATTTTTTTCCCGAGTTGGTGTGTTTTCGAACTCACTGATTTATATTGTCTTCAATGTAGGTACGTCTTATTTTTCTGGATTTTGAATAATTTCGAGTGTTATTTTCAGATTTCGAAGGTGAGCCACCGATCCCCCCGAGTTTGGCGCAGGCGACGGCAATCCAAGCGAACACGGCCTCCAAGTCCTATTCGCAGTCGGTGAAGGAACTTCTCACCAATAAGAACTTCGTCCTGCTCTTGGCCAGTTTTGGCCTCAACATCGGTGCCTTCTACGCTTACTCAACGCTCCTCAATCAGCTCTTCCTCGAACACTTCAAGGTACCCAACACTGAAAAAAAAACACATTGGATCTAGAGTCCAGACTCATGAAAACATTGATAAGAAAAAATACTCTTGATTCAATCAGATTTAAGCTTAAGTCAAAAGGAAATCCGCTCAAATTAAGAGGCTGGGTTCTTGATTTAAGCTTAAATCCGATTGAATCAAGAGTATTTTTTCTTGTCGATGTTTTTAAGAGTCTGGACTCCACACTGAAAAAAAAATCTCGGTGTATTTACTAAGAAAAGGGTAAAATTACCAAGAATTCTGGGTTCTATTTGATCCCAGTTTTTTCTTGGTAAAATTACCATTTATGGAATCGGTAATTGTACCGAGAAATCTCGGTAAAATTTTTACTTTCTCGGTAATTTTACTAGACCTTGGTAAAAACGCCAATATCTTTTATCGACTGTGGTAGAATTACCGAGATAAAATGGTAAAGTTACCGGGAATTGATTACCAATAAAAGTGGTATTCTTCCCTGAAAAAAACAGTAAAAATACCGGTTATTAGGTAAACTTACCAGTCTGTCTTGGTAAATTTACCAATAATTGGTTAAAAAAGTGAGATGGTAAAGGTACCAACGGACCTTGGTAAAACGCCGAGAATTTTTTTTCAGTGAGTCCAGACTCTTGAAAACATTGACAAGAAAAAAAACTCTTGATTCAATCAGATTTAAGCTTAAATCAAAAGGAAATCCGCTCAAATTAAGACGCTGGGTTCTCGATTAAAGCTTAAATCCGATTGAATCAAGAGTATTTTTTCTTGTCGATGTTTTTAAGAGTCTGGACTCTAGATCCAATGTGTTTTTTTTTCCAATGAAACTCACAGAGACAAAACATTCGGACTGCGTTAAGCAGAGAGGGACCAAGCCAAATTAGCTATTGCCGAATTTAACGGAGCAATTTTTTCACTAGAGAACGTTTGTGTGGATTCCTTTGAAATTATTGAGGAATTTGCTTCGTGCTATCCAAAAAGTTCACAGAACTTTGCAGAAAACTCCGCACAACCGTTTTCGTGTAAAAAATTATACTGCCCGATTAAAGTTGGCAGTAGCTGATGTCGTTTGGTTCCTTTCTGCTTATCGTGGTCCATTTTAGAGTTACCACAAATAAACAATGTAGTAGTCTACGCTACTTTTCGCCTGGTGGTGGTCGATGAGCAACTTGCTGAGGCATAAATCCAATGAAATTCGCTTAACGATGACTGCGATGAAAGTCGGGTGAGCACTTTGCGAGGCGAGTTTGGAAAAAAAATGGAAACCGGTAAGACTATTGAATTCAGATGGAGCCATGACGAACTATTGATAGCGCCTGGATCAACTGGATACAATTATTCGTGCTTCGTGGTTCTCCGCGTTGCATATTCAAAGTTTTGAAGGCGCCCTGCCTTCAGCCTTCATTAGTCTTCACAAATATGCATGTGCTCATTATTTTAACAGCTTTTTGGCGCCCCTTGACTTTCATGGAATAGTAGTTCGGACAGCACGGAAGTGGAGTATGATGTATCTTTCAGGGATTTGTGAAGGATGTTAGACAATTGAAAAATCACCAATGATTGATAGATTGACCGTCTAATCGTTTCTAAAAGCACCGCGATATCTTTCTAATTAGAAAACTGAACATTATGAATCAGAGTCAGTTCAAACTCACTTCCTTTCACGTTGTCTGGTTTCTTCTCTTGCTTTATACCGAAAATCCCTCTTCAAAATTCTCCGTTTGACAGCGCATAGCGACGTCCAATGGGAATTCGCCTGCATATTTGAGAAATGTGACTGTGTGAACCCGACACCGGAGGTTAAGCAGAGCAGCGTTGCGACGTCGTTTTAAACTCGCACATTTCACGTCACGTATACGAAAATAAGCAAATTTGACGCAAGGTGTAGCCCGTGCAGTTGGCGGGTGTCACATCGAGTGATTAGCGATGGGAGTGTGCAAATCCATATCCACCTACCCCAGCGCAATGACATTTGCGTATCGAATTTTAATATTCATGAACTGTCCCCTGAACTATGTTGACAAATCGCTTTTATCGGAAACTCGTACCATCTCCGCGTCCTGTCATCTCCGGAAGACTTTTTTTTTCTTTTTTAGAAGAAAGGCTCAGCTGAAAGAAAAATTTGACTTAAGTTGCATCATTTCTGCTCATAATTCATTTTTCTCGCATGCACTTGAGCAACAAACTGCATCAATTCTGCTGCTGGGCAATATGCACGAATCTACTGGCATCTACTAGCTATCTGCTGGCTACTGCTATCTACTGGCACTTGATCGACAGAAAATGTATAGGATATGTATTTATGAGCCACAAAAACAGCCCAACTTGACTTTTTCAGCGCCTTGACCCGAAATTCCCGCCAAAAAAGCGAAAAATCGCGTTTTCTCAAAAACGGCCAAACTACAGATTTCGCGGCTTGTTGATCCTCATTCAGTAGGCCTTCTAGTTGACATTTCCGCAAAAAAATTGCGGGTGGTATGTTGACCGCATGAAAAGTGTCTAAAACGTACTGTGTGTGGTGATGTTTTCAGGACGGGATGGAGGACGCCGGTCAAGTGGGTCTCACGCTGGTCCTGGCTGGAGTCGTTGGTTCCGTCGTGTGGGGCGTTGTACTCGACAAAACCCACAAGTACAAGTAAGAATCTCTTTCTGTTTTGATCTCTTATCTTGGTGCAAGTGTGATGCCAATACGGAAACAAGAGACCTTCCACTGGCCTCCTAGTGACAGGTGGAAGCTTTCACTTTCGGGGTTTTGACAATTCCTTATGGACAGTTATTAGGGAGCAACAGTCATCACCCTAATTTCGGCTGTTGACCTACCTACATGGTTGATGATGAGCTTCGGGTGACGTCATGAGCCAAACAAGTTTCCCAAACGTCGGCCATTTTCGGCGTGTTTGCAAAACGAAACTGCCAACACGTTGTTGAACATTAACCGCGTAGGTAAGTCAACAGTAGAATGCCCAAGTCCTGAAATTAAAAGCTTCCACAATAGCCAAGATACTGGTGGAGGGTCTCTTGTCACTGAGTCACTATGAAACAAGTTCTTCACTACGAGATCAGTATTAAATGGACCAGCTCCGCTTTTCATAGAAACCTCTGTAGACGGTCTCAGCTCGTAGATTATATAATAATACTGGGAGGTAAGCCCCCTGACCGCTGCGCGGCTCGACTCTTAGAGGGTGCTTAGCGGGCTCCCGTGGGTTAATGTACATCGAATGGGCTCATCTAGGGACTATTTCCTATTGAAAATCACAGAAACCATGAGAATTGGTCTAGTAGATGTTCAAAACGCGGTAAAACGTGAAAATGTACATTGTTTAAATGTGAGAATTCACGACGTTATCACGCAATATACAAATATCTGGGCTATATTTCCAAAATTTGAATAGAGGGGGCTTCTTTGAACACTATCGCCTGTTGATAGCCGCAAAAATCATGGAATTCAACCCGATGGGTCAGTTGCGCTGGTCGCAGAATTGTGTTTTAATGCTCGATTCTTGTAGATTAGCTAAAAATATTAAAATCCGCCCAAACCGCAACTTTCTATGCTAAACATCAAGCATGCAAGATCCCCTTGAAAGGTCGAGTTTTTGATGTCATCCACCGCGGTAATGATACCCTTCGTTTCTATCACCTTGGTTTTATCAGTCAGGGAGACATACATTAGTACTGGTTACTCTTCGTGAAACGCGGATGAAAGCAAGGTGGAAGAAACCAAGGGTGTCATTACCACGGTGGATGACGTCATAAACCCGACATTTCAAAGGGCGATATCTCGGTTAATTTTGAACGTAGAAAGTTGCGGTTTCGACGGATCTTAATATTTTTAGCTAATCTACAAGAATCAGGCATCAAAACACAACTCTGTGATCAGCGCATCTGACCCATTGAAGGGTAGAGAGAACCTTGAAGAATTGAATAAAAATTAGGGGTTCACAGAGGCAATGGTAATAATAAAGTGAAATATTGTCGGTAGAAATTCAATTGAAAGTTCGGTAGTTTTTTCTGAACTGTAAAATGAGACATAGTCTCTGCAACGTCACAACTTGAGATACTAATTTCCCTAATTTCAGCATCAAAATACGGCAAAAATATTTGCACAATGAGAGGAGCCTCTGAGCGAGTGGCAACACTGCTAATTGAATCGAAAGTCCATCAATCATAGGAATCCCTTTATGTGTCATCGATGAATTCAGGCAGAGTTCGGGAAGGCGAGAAGTTTTGACATTGACTTTAGCTTCTGAAGTGGAGGAAATAGACCCCCATACAAATTCAAATTTAACGTAGCCCTTCGTGTAGTTGTAGCAGGATAACATTCTAAAGAAGTTGACCACAAGATGAGATTGGAAATAAAGTAGTTATTTTTTTTTAAATGAATATATTACTTTATTTTAAAAATATTTACAATCTTAAAACGTGGCAAATATTTGTAAACCCTTTTTAAGCGATGACATCGTTTATAATCTCAATGAGCCGTAGCTGTGTTGAAAGAAACAATACAAAAATGATTGTAAGAGGAATAAAAACCAAGAAGCACGCAATGTTTGGTTTTAACCCATTTGTACATCGATCTTTAAGAGTCAAATACGTCCAATTTTCAGCAATTGATTACGCGTACATGACGCTGCAGCAGGGTAAATGCACAAAATATAAAAGAAAAAATTGAATTGCTTGGAAATCATTTAATATGACACGAAACCACGTTAATATTTACAAAATACACATTATATTTACCTTATAATAGATGTTTTTTTATCATTGAGCTAAATGATAATAATCCATGCAGAGTGCGCAAATGTTGCAAAATCATGAGTTGAAAAACGCTGACCTCGCTAGTTCAAATATTAGAGCCTAACCCAGAGCGGAGCAGCGCGCGGCGCTCTGCCAGCGCAAAACGCGCACTGGCGCGGCGCCTACAAACCTAAGTGGATACTTCACGCATTGTGCAATGCGTGAAGTATCCACTTAGGTTTGTAGGCGCCAATGCGCGTTGGCGCTCCGCGCTGGCCGCCCACCCGCCCGCCGGTATGCCGTGCCGCGGCGCCTGAAGCAACTATTTCACAACAGAGTAGTTGAACAGTATCTTACGAAATTGAAGACGCTCCAACATATTAAGAATGACAGGCATCCTTTAAGAGCACGGAGCTTTCCTCGCAAAATGAATCAAGATACGACGGCACACAAAGAGAGCTGTAGTCGAAAAACCCACTAGGTCCTAGCATCCGTATTTCATAACATTTAGCATAATTTTGAAAATATATTAGAAAGGAAAGTGACTCAATTTTGGCGCAGAAAAATTCTTGAATATGCCGTCAAGAATATTTTATTTGGAATCAAGAATAAAATAGCTGAATGGAACCAGGTTTCTGCTTGACGCAAGTGACTTTTCTTTTTATATGAACATCTCTTCTTCTTTAAACAAGCATTATTTTCTGTATTGATTCATTAGAAAATCTTCTCGGCGGTAAATGAGCATCTTCTTCCTTGAATCAAGCCACTTTTTCCTCAAATGGAGTTTAAAAATCATGATACACGTTATTGAATGCAGATACTCGGACTTAGTAAGTTTTTCGACTACCGCTCTCTTTTTGTCGTCGTCACTAGATTTAATTTGCGAGAAATATTCGTGCTTTTGAAAGATGCTTTCAATCATGATACGTTGAGGTGCCTTCAATCTCGTATGATACTGTGCAATACCTCCGTGGCGAAATAGTACTCGTAGCTCGAAGCACTGCGGCACGCCGGCGCGTCGTCGCGAAGTTATCATACACAGAAAAAATCTAAGAGTCTTTACTGTGGCAAATCAAGTGGTTTTTTCGGTTCAGGTATAAAAAGATAGGATTTTCTCGGAGGATAATAATTAAGTCCTGTTGCACGAAAGAAGTGTGGAGTGTTACAGTGAATTTGCCCTCGTGGAAATGACGCTTTCTCATTTCCACCAAAAATAGCAATTATATATTTTTCTCCGTTTGGCCTGACAAAAAAACAAAAAAAAAAACCAGCAACTTTTAAAGATTAGTTTTTTAATATTACGCAATGGAGTTGCTCATTCTCCCATTTAAACAATGTAAATTATTATCTTCTGTTACACTTCCTTCTAGCTTTCTACTGGGCCGATTGCCATGATTTTTGCGCCTATCGACAGGTGGATTACATTTTGCAATAAGGAACCAGTATCTCTGGCTCTTCTGTAAAAGCGCCTACCTGCGTAGGGAAACTAATAGCATTTATGTTGTTTCTTAAATGAGCCAGAAATAGTGGTTCCTTATTGCAAAATGATGTCCAGGTAATAGTCCGGAGATGAGCCCGATTTATTTGGATCTTAGGAATATGACCCAAGTTTTTCATATAAGGGTTGACTGGGAAGCTAAGCAATGTGAGGGGCAATAAGCGACATTTGAAGTTATTGCCAATACCAAATGACGGGAATTTCGGATTTGTCAGAAAATTGCACTAAACGAGAAATGTTGGAGGGCGCGAAGCATCCTCTAGGGGTTGGGTCGCATAGCGGCCAAGGGGCATAGAGCCCGAGTATTTCTATATTTTCTATTAACACTGATGTATGTCTCATTTGCAATGAGCCCATTTGGTTGAAGCATGGACGAATAATGATAAAAGAGAGTTTTCTAGCCTCCTCGATTATTTTTGTCAGGTTTTCTACAGTTTCCAAGAAAGTAACTTCAAGAGGGTGAAATGAGTCGAACCCGGGTTGACGTTTTACTATTCCATGTTACAGAGAAACCACACTAGGAGTGTACCTCATGTCTGGACTGGGTATGTTGGCTTTCACCTTTATGCTCCGGGCTGAAAGATTGATTCCGGTTTACGTCACCTCGGGATTTTTAGGGTGAGTGAATTATTTATCACTTTTGCCTTGCTTCCTCCTCTCGTAAAATTCACGTTACACGCCGCAGCGGTGTGCATGAAAAATTTCTCGCAATAGTCCAAGTCAACTTTCCCGCTGTTCGAAGCAAGAAACTATACGCGGACCGCGTTTAACAGAATGAACCAAGCCACATTAGCTATTGACAAATTTACCCAAGCAATTTTATGTTTCAAAAGAGAACGTTTGCGCTGATCATTTTGAAAATTTTAAGTAACTTGCTTCGTGCTGAAGAATCTCTGGAATTTGCACACGAATTCGCCCAACCGTTTTCATGTAAAAATCAAATTGCCCCGTTAAATTTGGCAATAGCTGATGCGACTTGGTTCTTTTCAAACTTAACGCGGTCCAATTTACTTCAGATTTTCTGATCTTTTGAGCGTTCACAACGCCACGCGTAGTGGACGCGTCATCTGGCGATTTTTTCGAAGCAGCCCGGTAACATTGTAACATGATATCACTTAAGCATCCCCGCTTTGCTTTATGGGGATTTTCACCATTTTTTACGGTGGCAAAATATTTTATATTTTTATTATTTGTTTGTTAATAATTGTTAATGCTTACGTTTATCTTCGGTACGTAGCACTTTATGCAATGATGGTACGCATTTATTTGACATTATTTAGACTTTCTTCGAGGAAACGTTCACTTTAATAACACCCTTATGTCAAATTCCAGTTCTCTTTATATTTGTGTATCTTTCAGTGATTCGTTTTTTGGCGCTGATCTCACTGCACATTCATATCATTCGCGGTTTTTGGGTGCTAAATAGACTCCGGCACCGAATTTCACTCCTCGATTTTTTATTGTGTAGCGTGAACTGCCCCATTAAAAATTATTGTACACAATACTTTCGCGTTTATACCTTTAATGTGCTCTTTGTCCAGGTTCTTCATGAACGGTTATTTGACGGTCGGGTACGAATTTGGAGCCGAGCTGACGTATCCACACTCTGAGAGCACGTCGTCCGGGCTGTTGAACGCTGCTGGTGAAGTTTGCGGTGTAACAAGTGTGCTCGTAGCAGGAGCCGTCTTCCAGAATTACGGTAAGAAAGACTCCTAAACTGGACGTTTTAAGGTGATTCGATGGACGCCATATTTTGTGTCAGAACGGCATGCGATATATCGCATCAATGGGTTCCATTTTTTCAGCTATTCGTCATTTTTCTCCAATTTCGAGATCGCAATTCTGTTTCAGGAGACTAAAACACTCACTTACCAATTTTAACAAAGAAATTTAACGTAATAAAGGCGTAATTTTTTCAGAGAGAAAACATAGCAATCGATACTGATATCGAAACTGCGCTCGAATGCGACGTTTTCTCTTTAAAAAAACCACGCCTTTATTACGTTGAATTTCTTTGTTAAAATTGGTAAGTGGGTGTTTTTGTCTCCTGACAACAGAATTGCGATCTCAAAATTGGAGGAAAATGACGAGTAGCTGAAAAAATGGAACCAATTGATGCGATATATTGCATGCCGTTCTGACACAGAATATGGCGTCCATCGAATCACCTTCAGACTAAAAGAAGTAACTAAAATAACATTAATTAAATGAGAAGAAAGTATGTGCGTAGGGTTCACGTGCCGCATTGTTTCTCTCGTTTAATTTATTTCGACGCACTGAAAAAAAATTCTCGGCGTTTTTACCAAGGTCCGTTGGTATCTTTACCATCTCAATTTTTGTTACCAATTATTGGTAATTTAATCAAAACAGACTGGTAAGCTCACCTAAAAACCGGTATTTTTACTGTTTTTTTCAGGTAAGAATACCACTTTTATTGGTAATCAATTCCCGGTAACTTTGCCATTTTATCTCGGTAATTCTACCACAGTCGATAAAAAATATTGGCTTTTTTACCAAGGTCTAGTAAAATTACCGAGAAAGTTCAACAATTTTACCGAGATTTCTCGGTAAAATTACCAATTCCATAAATGGTAATTTTACCAAGAAAAAACTGGGATCAAATGGAACCCTGAATTCTTGGTAATTTTACCCTCTTCTTAGTAAAAACACCGAGATTTTTTTCTCAGTGCGTGCCGTATAGTTTCTTTCGTTTAATTCATTCCGACGGTGAAACTGCAACAATGCGTATTTCGGTTGAGGTGTTTCGAAATCCTCGCTCCTATTTTATTTTTATAAGAAGACCAAACCAACATCATGACTTGAAATTTTTACAGAATATTCGTGGCAGAGAGCAGAAAAATCGCTGAAATTTTCAAAAAAAGACATTCATTCGTTTTCTATGTAGAAAATAAAGTATGACAGGAATCAGTGGACGTGGCGTGCTTTGCGATATATCGATTGATCGGCGATTTAAAACGATGGAAAAGGATCGATGAACAGGGTGTTCGCAGCGAACACCTTAATAATCGATTCTTTACCATAGGTTTAAATGGCATAACAATCGATATATCGCAATTCACGCCACGCCACTGACAGGAAGTCTCCAACGTCGCAAACCGAGGTACGCATTTCTGCTGTTTCATCATTGATTTGTTGATACTGCCGTGATAAGGAAAAACACCGTAAAATTCGAAAGTCACCAAATTTCTCCTCAGGAAATATTCTTTTTAGAATAATTTTATGAATGTATTTTCTTGAGATTTTCAGACTTTTTAGATCAAATCACGAAAAAAATTCTGTAAAAAATCGGAAGGAAATATTCACAAATTTTTCCGAAAATTCGTGATTTCCCGACGGAAATTTGGCAACCCTTGAAGGCTTATACGGCGTTCTTCCTCAGCACAACGATATGGTTCTTGCCGGTATAAATACGCTTAACTGCAATAACTTTTTATACTTTCGGACGTGCTTTGAGCTCTGAGCACAGTATTTACCTGCTCGCTCCACGGGAACAATTGAACCACATTTTGCAATTAGGAACTATAATTTCTGGCTCATCTGTAAAAACACTTATGTGCATAGGGAAACTGATGGTACATACGTTGTTTCTAAACTGAGCTAGAATTTATAGTTCTTAATTGCAAAATTTAGTCCAATTAGAACCCTTGCAGAATCACGAAAAAAGAAAAAAAAGAGAAGAATAAGAACAATAAAATACGACACGAAGTCTGCAAACGTCTGATAAGCGTATTTACGCGGTTTTACGCGTAGTTACGGCGTTTAGGTTTACGATGCACTAGGCTAGCAAACAAATTAATAAATGGATCGCATTTAGCAATTTGGAACTATACATTCTGGCCCGGTTTAAAAACTACGTATGTGCCATTAGTTTCCCTATGCACATAAGTGTTTTTTCAGATGAGCCAGAATTTATAGTTCCAAATTGCAAAATGCAGTCCAAATGTAATTCATTGTTCAACTACGTCATCAATTCTCTTTTCTCAGGAGACTTCGCGACGGATCTGGGCCTGAGTGCTATGCTCCTGCTAGGCCTCCTCCTTTCAATATTCATCGACGGCAGTCATCTTCGACGGCAGGAGGCAAGTAGAAGACCTGTCTACGTCACTCCGGTTATTGCCAACATGACGTCAGACTCCATCGACTCCAAACCTAGGAAGTATTCAAAATAACAACCGCAGAAACTAGCCCGACATAAACAATCTTTCTCATTATTTCATCGCCTCACGGCTTATCAGTTGTGATCCTTTCAAATTGGTAACATTAGGTTTACTTTACTCAAATGCATTGGAATCACTTGATTCTCGGTAAGTAAACTTGCCTCGCCTGGAATCGATATTTACAATGGATTTGAACGGAGCAGTTTTCCTAAGGCACGAATTTAAATATTTTGATTGTTTTTCTTTTTAAAAGTTTACGTGCACCACGATTCGCGCAACGAAAATACCTATTGACAACTTCAAACCAAGATAATGACGTTTATAGCTAGCACTGATTACGAAAATTTCAAATTTCCCGCTTGCATGAAAAACAAGAGTCTACTTGAACCAAATGGCGCATTGCGAAGGTTTTGGCAGGCTCCTCGACGAGCGATGTTCCTTAATCCTTAATCTGTGTTGTTTAAAGTGCAAAGAACGTGCACTAGCCGGGGATATCGAGGTTGTCATTGTCATTTTGTCATGCCGCAGAGACGCTTACGGTAGAGTACCTATATTGAGAGAGTATGGCCACTGGGGTTACCACCTCTGATTGGCTCAGCCATCTTAGGCTAAATGGAGCCCTTAGGACCCAAAAATGGCGGACGCCATAAATTAATGTAATGCAAAATAGAGTCCCTTTATACCCAGAGTTAAGACAACTCACTTTTGGTTGGGCTGAAAGTGGCCTAAAAAAAAATCCAATTCTGATTGGTTCTCGCTCATGGAGGCCGAAACGAGTGCACCAAGATGGCGGTACCTCGAATGTGAACAAGAATAATGAAAATATTACCTAATTGTGGTTTATCAAGAGTAAATTGTTATTTCCATTGGTCCAAAATGAAAATAGATTAAGAAATTATTCACAAACCAATCTCATTTTCTTTTTAATCGATCAATTTGTTGATGTTGTTGTTTTAGTGTGACAGACATCGCAGGATTCCTGATCCTTTTCCCTCAATATCGTTCGTTCGGGTGCACTCGTTTCGGCCTCCATGGCCAGCCAAGGCCGGCTGTCAGTCAGCTGATAATCGAGTTGTCTTAACTCTGGGTATAAAGGGACTCTAATGCAAAATGACTCAAAATGCTTATCGTAACGAGAAATTTACTCAAATGCACTATTGCGACATTTTTACATATTTTTAAGGATAATCGTGTGCAATTTTTGAGAAAAATTATCTTAGATGTAGTAAGGGTTGGCAGCAAGTGCGGTTGGTGATAACCGTCACAAGTTGGCAATGACCCCCCTCCCATCCACAAAAACCAAAACAAAGCACCGCCATTTTTGGGTCCTAAGCCTCTCCATGGGGCCCAGTGGCCATACTCTCTCAATATAGGTACTCTAGCTTACGGTAGCGTTTAGTATGCGATGTAACTAAAGTAGATTGTTGTTTGTCTATGAGCGGGATGTTTGAATTTACGCATAAAAAACGGTAATATTTGGGTTAAGAGTTACGTTCAGTAATTTTTGTTCTACAAATCGTGTCCTTCATAAAATTTTGTCTATAAAACAATTAAACGTTCATCATGATGCTTAAATTGGCACCTTTTCTGGAGGCCCATTCTGTTGTGGTAAGGAAAAACAACGTATGAGCCTTCAGGCGTTGCCAAATTTCTTTTGATAAAACACGAATTTTCCAGTAACTTTATGGAAAATTCCCCTCTGATTTTTTAAACAATTTTGCTCGCAATTTTGTCTATAGTTTTTGGATATTTCTAGGAAAAATATCCATAACTTTCCTCAAAAATGAACATTTTATCGAGGAAATTTTGCAATTCCCGAATGTTCATACGGCGATCTTTCTTAGGACGGCAGCATTGTAAAGCTGCTAACACACGTACACTCCGAATGTACATTTTGGCCTATTGCGCATGCGCGGGCATCGAGAATGTTCCTCATATTGTTCTCTTGAACAACTATAAGTTACAGGAATTAGTAAAAGATCGTCGCGGGTATCTTCTTCTTCTCGTCAAACTGTACATTCTTTTCCAAGAGAATGATGAGTGTACATTCGCGATGCCCGCTCATGCGCAGTAGACCAGAATGTACCTACATTCGGAGTGTACGTGTGTTAGCGGCTCAAGAATTGCGCCAATTTTATTTTGTATCTTGTGACGATAATATCACCTTAACTTTGCGCTGTTACAGAGGATTCATTTTCTGATTCAAATCTTTCATTCTTTGGATAGTGTCTGGTAAATTGTGGTCTTTTAATATAATTGTATCTCAAATATTGGTTATTTTACACGTTGTGTTTAGGATAAGTTATCATTACTCATACTTTGTACAGTGTGTACATACTCAATGTTCTGTTAATTAGAGACTTTTATTTTTACACGCCGTGGACCTTTTCATTTTCTAAAAAAAGGGACTGTGTTTGAAAATCTCATTTCCGATTTCAATTTTTTAGTAGAAAACCAAGTAAAATTTTCGCTTAAACTTTTTTGAAAATAACCTGCGGATGTGCACAATAAACTACAAGGATTTTCGAGTGGGGATGTTCCGTTTCCTACCCAGCTGATGAGTTTACAATTGGTTTCGCCCGAAGAAATTAAAAGAGGAGATGAGATTTTGAAAAATATGGATGTGACTATTTTGACACACTCTATCAAATGTCAATAGAGAGAGAGCAGAGGGTGCGTTGTGACATTGTTACGACAAGGCAACTTCGCACTGGATTTCACACGCATAAAAGGAGAGGATAAAGGAGAGAATAAAACACTCAAACTATTTCAAGAGAAGTTTTAAAAATGTATTTCCTCGTAACAATATTATAATTACAAAGAGAAAAAAGCGGTCGGTGGATTCTTTTGTCCTCTCATGGAGGTAAGAAATGACTTAAAGAGAGATGAAATCATCAAGTAGAAAAAAATAGAAATCATGATTTAGTAAAGTAAATTGGTTCAAAATATTTGGACCATTGTGCTAAAAGTTGAATACACCAGATCAATCACTCAAACCAGTGGCGTGGCGTGCTTTGCGATATATCGATTGTTATGTCATTTAAACCTATGGAAAAGGATCGATAATCAGGGTGTTCGCAGCGAACACCTTAGTAATCGATTCTTTATCATATATTAAATGGCAGAACAGTGATATATCGCAAAGCACGCCACGCCGCTGACTCAAACCAACAACATGTTTTATAAAACTCAACTATAGAACTAGCTAAAACAACTATATATTAGTTCAAACAGGCGAGAGTTTTGAACAATAAAGCCACATGGCTTTCATGGAACTCCAGAACGAACATTCAAAAAACACGTTTTCCCTCATCAAATTCTGCGCTTCAAATTAAAAATGCATGTGCGTGGTTTCATAGTTTTGATGTTCGTGTACTTGAAATTGCATAGCAAACAAAATGAAGGAGGTCTTGAAAGTGAACGGACAAGAAAGAAGATAAATGTACAATACAGGATCACAAAATAGAGCTATTATACAGTTGTTATTTTTGTGTAAAAAAATTGCTGTACCGTAAATAGTATAAGGTCAAGAGGTACTTTACCAATCAGAGAAAAAAAATTAATAAGTAACTTGCACGTAAATCACATGCTTTCACTGGCGAATGTCGTGCAAAACTTTGCGGCAAAGCTCTTTAAAATTTGCAAAATTATCTGCTAATGCCGATATTCCTTTAAGAAAATTGCGACGTCATGTAACACGATTTGCAGCACAATTTTTTCAAATATGCCACACAAGAAATCCTTCATGTGTACGAATTGAAATTTTCTACGTCATCTGTAAATGCCAACATTTTTCTAAAAAAAATTGTGAAAAAATGCTCAAAATTTTGCCGCAAAATTTCTTCAAATATGAAATAACCCCTTCAGGTTTAAGCGACAAAAAAGCAAGTGATAAGAACTGAGTTAAAAAGCTGGGAAAGGTACTGGAGACACACTACCTTGGTCCCAAAGATTCAGGTAGGAAAGATTTAGGAAATACTCGACAACTGATGGATTGGAAGAAGGATACTTACAATAATAGCATTATAAAACGCTCAACAGCTGCGTTGAGACTAACTCGCAGCCAATACTAAGATAAGGAGGCTTAACAGAAAAAGAAGAAAATATCTAGAGACCATGACGCAGTTAATAATTTTCATTTATGATTGAAAAATATATAAAATACGCTCAAAATTCACTCTCATACATCAAAATTTATCCAAATCTCTTTTCATGTTGTACTTCCTCGATTCCTCATTAGAAGTGTCGGCAACGTGTTGACTTGAAATTTTGTAAAAAGCGCTCTCTTTAATTCAGGATAAATGCGCATAAGGATTGAATGCGTTATGTTCTACGACTATGACAGTAAATGTGAGAAGTCAGGAGGACAAGGCGCATAAGTGCAGTTTTTGCTACTTCGAGAAATACGTGATGGAAGATTCGAAATTACAATAAGGAACCTTATGGCGGAAAGAAAGTTCAAACTGAGTTTTTGATGCTTAAAAATCGGAATTTGAGAGCGAATTTTTCGCAGAATGTCCATTGTGACTAGTTTTATTTGAAATCATTTATGTCTCAATTTTTTCAAAAACTGCAATTACGCGCATTGTCCTCCAAGCCCCTCATGTGGCATCAGTATACACAGCATGATTCTCTCAGTGGCGCAGCGTGGCGTGCTTTGCGATACATGGATTGATCTGTCATTTAAACCTACGGAAAAGCGTCGATAAGCAATTGCAACGAACACCTTAATAATAGATTCTTTACCGCAGCTTCAAATGGGGAAATATCGATAATCGATCATTAACGCCGCACCCCTGATTTCTTTGTCTGAGCGACGGAATAAAACTCGGATAATGAAACAAGAAAAGTAAAATTAACTGAAAGGTTTGCAACATGAACTTAGTAAGGCAAGTGAAATACGTAAAACGCTGTACAAATAACAAAGATAAATACATATGATCAGAACCAACGCGGTAATTCTCAAAGTTAATAAAAATTCGATAAAAATACAATCCTAACCAACATAGTTTGTTAAAATTTCATCGAAAATAAAGGTTTAATAAATGCGAATAGTAAATACATGTTTGCGAGAGAAAATAGTTTGAGAATTAAAAAAATAGTTTTCAGTTTGAACATAATATTTACACAGATGAACAAATCTTACAAGTTTATCTTTTTTACAAGACTAAGCGAACATCTACTTCTTTGTGTTTTGTGCCAACTAAGTTCTCACGTGTTTTTAAAATCAGTCAGAAATAGGTTTGAAAAGTGATTTGAGGAAGGAAGAATGGAGGATACTTGACTAAGAATGAAGGAGGATACTCAATTCAGATAAGCAAGATGTAAAAAAAATGTTCTCTTAATCCTAAATAAGCATGCAATTTTACATTTTCTTTAACCAAACAGAAATATGTTTCGTTAAACAGAGAAAAAAGAATGAACCGAGGTTGCAAAACTAAACAAGCGGGAAAGCTATTACGTTCGTATTTGAGAAGCGCTCAGCTGTTTTCTATGTGGGCAAGTTTTTAAGTTCCCCGAAGAAGATGAGTAATATTGAGTGAAACAACTCGCTTCACTATTTTAACTAATGATTTTGAGAAAAGTGCACCACCGTTAATAAAATAAAATATAGCAAAATGATTATCGTCCTTCGCTCTTTGATATCAGAAGCATTGCAGATAAACCTGTTCTAAATGTGCGAGGCTGCCTTATCCGCCCTTTTTTAATTTAGCCGGTGCACTATTTGAACGCAATTCCACTAGTACATCGACGGTGTAAGTCGGCAATCACATTACACGGCATCCCCAGAAAATTAAGAGGGAGTCGAAATCCGAATAGAAATAGAATAAATAGTATTTTTTCTTATCAACAATTTCAAGAGTCAGGACTCTTAAATTACTTTTTCGAATACAATCGAAAAAGTAATCAGTAAGCCAGCAGAATTTGCTCAGTATTTGAATGTTTGTTTACTTCCGGAATTGATTTACTTCCATTAATGATCCCGATCCGATTCAAATCTGTAACGAAGGCGTGGAGCTGCTAATGAAGCCTCGAGTTGGGTTAGGTTAGGTCACGCAACTAAATCAACTCCGCGGTAATGCGGGAGGTGTCGCACGAAAATGAAGGCGCGCAGCGCGCCACTGCTGGGTTGCGCAGATATCTTCTGCAGCTACAAGCTGCAATTCGACGGCGTAAGTCCGCAATCACTTATCTCGTTTGCGGTGTCTGAAAATCTCCGTCTCCATGTTATTCTTTTAAAGGAGAACAAATTGACATCATTCCTTGAAGTTGTTGCAGAATTATCTTCGCACAGAGAAGAAAAATCAAGGCAGTTTTAAAGAATCGTCGTTGAGTAGTTTTCCGTTTAAAAAATAAAGTATGATAGGAAGTCTGTGACGTCGCAAACCGAGTTATGTGATTGCCGACTTACACCGTCGATATACTAGAATGCTGTGGGCAGGTAAAAATCAAAAAGCGCCCTCTATCAGCTGAGCGCTTAACATAGTGGTGTGCTAAAAAAAAAAAAAAAAAAAAAAAAAAAAAAAAAAAAAAAAAAAAATAATAAATAAATAAACGATAAATGATTATTCACTGTCAGATAAAAACTAATTCTTACATGAAAGTAGGCCGAAAACCTGCAAGTATGCTCTCTCATTGTTAGGTCTCATAATTACAATCATACTCACATCCGTTTTTTATCATCAATTAGTGGAAAATTGAAAAAATTAAATCAAGATCTTATCTTTATACAAGTGATTTCATCAACCAACAGGAGATAGCTTTTAAAATAACCGGAAAAATTTCTAAAAACTCGTGTCAGAAGAGTCACTATACACAATATCTCAATCATATCTCACTCTTGAAATTAAATTACTCATAATTTTATAATATGTTCAATCATAAGTATTGCGTCATATTGCCACGGGGATGTGTATCACATAAATCATAAAAGCATGTCCGATGAAAATATTGATTTGAATTAGTCTGACGTCACGCAACAAATGTTTCAATTCAAATCTACTTCAAAGGTAACGTCGCATAAAATAAAGCGAGAATATATTTGGTTCCATCCGGACGCAGCTTTCTACTGTCGACTTAAATAGACCAAACTGCCAACATGAAAATTTTTTAGTCCGACGTGATGTAGAGTTATAGTGACAATTTTTTCTCAGTATTTTCGCAAATTTAGCAAATTTATCCCCCCCCCCTCTTCGTCGTGCATCTTGTACCCTCTCTTCAAGATTTCGCTGAAATCATGCCTCCGTCACACTGAAAATAAAATGTACGAGTACATTTGGTGTTAAGAGAGTATTAGCTCTTCCTTTTTTAAGAATGGACACGAATTATGTTATTATTTGAGTATCAAAATGCAAGATTCCATACAATACATTACAAGAATAGATGACTTTTGCAGTCAGCACCCTTTCTCTGAGAGATAAATGTCACGCAGCGAATAAAAGTGGCACTTTTGAAAACCCTCGTTTTACTCGCTACGATCGCAATTTATCTGCGCTCGTAAAAGGTTTGTTTTATCAATTTGGATGTCAGGATGAATAAAATAATAGCAAAATGTGGTTCGTTCTGCGAGGGAAAACTCAACTTTTAGTGCTGTTATGATAAGACGAAGGGCATGTGCAAATAAAAACGCAAACTGCTGGAGCATACGTTGTAGCTAGGTAGAAACTAAGATCAAATATTCCGTCCGATGTGTTGGCAGATGGTGCAAGTATTGAAATTTTATGTATAGGAAAATTGCCAAGGGTCGTCCCTTCCAGATTGCATACAATGCAAGAAAACGACTAGATCGCCCAGTCCACTTTATGAATTAGTGGCGATCTTTCTTTTTTTTTCTTTTGGCTCCCGCTACTAAATTTGTGACTCGAGATTTGAATTTCAACAACTTTGCAGTTTTGGCCGAAAACAGGTTTGACGGTCTGCTGTTGATTAAAATAAACAAACAGCCATCTCACTAAAAGCAAATGAATTTTCATCGTTACAGAATTTGTTTGCATTGAATTTGTTGGTTTTTATCAATAGCAGACGTTCATATTTGCCTTCGACCAAGACTGCAAAGTTGTTGAAATTCAAATTTCGCGCCACAGATCCAGCGGCGGGAGTCGAAAGCTGAGGTCTGCGGTCGAATAGAGCACCTTCATAGGGAAAGTATGGCCACTGGGCCCCATAGAGGGGCTTAGGGCCCAAAAATGGCGGCGATTTGTTTTGTTATTTAATGATGTGTCTTGAAGGGTCATTGCCAACCTTTGACGGTTATCACTAACTGCACTTGCTGTCAACCTTCATTACATCTAAAATGATTTTTCTTGAAAAAAGTACACGATAAGCCGCGCGTACACCTTTGAAAATACGTCGTGATAATGCATTTGAGTACAATTCCCATTGCGATATACAGATAAAACTACATATTGAGTAATTTTGTACTTATATATATATATGAGTCGCTTTTATAGCGCTCTTTGGCGCTGTGCGACGCCTAATCGCCACAAAGCTCGGTCTTCCCACAGGTCATCAGGGAGTTGACAATCTCTTATCTCATTTAACACCCCCTGTCGCCAACCTCTCACTGGGTAATTTTGTACTTGCGTGTACTTAAAGCGTCCGCCAAAGGTGACTGAGCGAATCTGAGGTGGTAACCGAAGTGACTAAACTCTTCCTATGAAGGTACTCCAGGGTCGAATTTTGTCGGTCCTCTCCACCGTGCTTCGGTATCCTTGGAGCGAGTTACAGACATAAAGACGGAGCGCTAGAAGAAGAAAATGAAGCCACCTCTTCTTTTGGTTAGAGCAGCAGAAAAACTAACTTTATCTGAGATTTCTGTAAGATTCCTCCTTGTTACCAAGCCAAAATAGGTTTATTATAAAAATTCAAAATCCCAACTTTACTTATCGATTCGTTTTAGGCATTTAAAATGAGATTCGAAGAAGAAATATGGAAACATGAAGAGGACAAGTTCAAATCAAATCGTTTCCCGCGCATGGATTCACATTGCCAGAATGGCTTCACTTCTTCCCCGAGCTTTTAGATACGAGCACTCCGTCTTTATAGACTAGAGCGAGTCTCGACCGCACTTAAGTTCGGCTTAGCGCTTCTGATTGATCGGTGGTGCGATTAATATAATCATTTGTTTTTAAAATCTTTGGTACTTTTCATGTAACCTATGTAAGAGCTTAAATAAACTATATCAGGTTATGGGCCCAGCGCGCTTCCACTGCTCTTAATCACATCAGATAAGTGCTCCATTGTGGGCTTGAGAGAGGAGGGTCCTACTTGCTGTGGCTCTTCCTGAAGAGGGGTAATTTGACAACCTATAATCATTTGTTTTTAAAATCTTCGGTAATTTTCATGTAAAGCTTAAATAAACTATATCAGGTTATGGGCCCAGCACGCTTCCCCTGCTCTAAATCACATCAGATAGGTACTCATCGTGGGCTTGAGAGGGGAGGGTCCTACTTGCTCTGGCTCTTCCTGAAGATGAACAACTTCCTGTTCCCGGTGGGCTTGACGGTGTCGAGGGCGTAGGCGCTCATGCTGCGGACGGTGTCGGAGAAGGTGGACCAGACGCTGGTGGCGTCCTGGCTGCGGCGGGGGCCGTTGGCGACGAGGCCGCTCGGGGTGTGGAGGAGGAAGGGCGGCGGGGAGGGGTGGTAGCGGGGGAGGCGCGGCTTCTCTCTGTCTCATGCGTACTCGGTGTCCGTCGAGAGGGAGCGGTCCAGGAGGTGCCGGTCCTCGAAGAAGGAGCCGTCGTCGCGGGGGTCGCCGTCCGGGGTCCCGTCGTCCCCGTAGCCCGGGCCCCGGGCCGAGTGGGCGTACGCGATCGACTTCTGGTACGAGAACAGCTGCCGCTCCAGGGAGTAGTTCTCCGCCTGCAGGGCCGTGATCTCCCGCCTGGGAACAGTCAAGAATATTCGGAACAGTCAAGAATATTCGGCATGTTGGACAGAAAAATATGCTAAATGGAGATGTTGCATGTGTGAGGAATTTCCTATTGGACTGTTGATTCTTATGGAAAAGTTCGCGAGAAACAAGATGTACTTGCCGTAACCCCCCCCCCCTCATTCCCCAGTCCCTTCCGGTTCATAACCTTTGTAATGGAGATGTTGCATGCGTGAGGGATTTGCGATTTGACTGTTGATTCTTATGTAAAATTTCGTGAGAAACACGATGGTGCCACTGGTTTTCTCTGAAATCATCTCCCTACATCAAGACAAACTATGCATGCAAAGATAGGGAGCAAATACATTGACAGGGCTGCCACTTTATTTGGGGACTCTAAAACTGGAAACACGGCATCACTGCTAATGTATTTGCTCCCTATCTTTGCATGGAGAGTTTGTCTTGATGTAGAGGTGAACTCGCAGGATAGCGTGGGATGTCCCCTCCATTCTGACCTCAAGTTGAGAGCTTTTTTTGAGCTTGGGAGTTGATTTCAGAGATAACCAGTGGCACCATCGTGTTTTTCGCGAACTTTTACATAAAAATCATCAGTCAAATCGCAAATTCCTCACACATGCACCATCTCCATTCGTAGTGTTATAAGCAAAAAAGAACTGCGGGCTGATTGTTGAAATGAGTCAATTGCGTTGGTCCCAGAATCATGGTCTAATGTTTGATTCTTGTAGATTAACTGAAAATAACATGATCTGTCTATAACGTAGGGGTTGATTTCGAAATGTTTATCTCTGCTATAGTATCGTTTTTGAAGCGGGGAGCTTAAGGAAACGCATATTTCTTACGCTGACCGTCGCAAGTTAGGAGTGTATTACAGAATTCCTCGATACGGTCATTGGGTTGTTGATCCTTTTCCTGAATTTTTCTGCTTCTTGTCTATAGCTTTGTCCATCAATTTCAACAATGTGTCAGTTACACTGGTCACAGAATCGTGTTTTGATGCTTGATTCTTGAAGATTGGCTAAAAATAATAAGATCTGTCCAAACCGGGACTTTTTACGTTCAATATTGGCTGAGATATCGCCCTTTTGAAAAGTCGGGTTTTTGACGTCATCCACCGCGGTAGTGACTCCTGTGGTTTCTTCCACCTTGCTTTTATCAGTCAGTGACGCACTGGTTACTCAACGTGTAACTTGGATGAAAGCAAGGTGGAAGAAACCACAGGTGTCACTACCGCGGGGGATGACTTCAAAAGCCCGACTTATCAAAGGGCGATATCTCGGTTAATATTGAACGTATAAAGTCGCGGTTTGGACGGATCTTAATATTTTTAGCTAATCTTCAAGAATCAAGCATCAAAACACGATTCTGTACCCAGTGCAACTGACACATTGTTGAAATTGATGGACAAATCGCACCAAAAGAACAACGCAGAAAATGGCTCAACAACATTACGAACGCATCGGAAAAGTCTGAAATACTCTCCTAACTTCACAGTCAGCGTGAGAAATATGCGTTTTCTTGAGCTCCCCGCTTCAAAAACTATGGCACAGGTGAACATTTCGTAAGAGACGTTGTTCCATTCAACCCTTGCACTCATCGTGTTTTTTAAGCCATTTTCTATGCGAAGTAATTCCTTTTTTTGCTTTAGATGAAGTTTGCAACAGGCCAATTTGGTTTGACACTACCACCGTTAAGAAAAAACGAAAAAAGTACGACCATGAGCGGTAAAAAAAGATAATCCACTGAAAAAAAGTCAAGGCAAGAAGTTTCTAGCCTGTATCTCGGTCAAAGAGCGATGAAAACACTTTGATGCAACTATTCGAGCTGGAGGGATGGCCAGGATGCATACTCAATTAGATGAAGGCATATTGGAAGATTGTCGCATAAGAGTCTCCAGGACGCGCCCATGTGTGTCGCACAAGACACCCATATAGACTAATTTACGTCATTCGGTATAATATCGAACTCTTGGTTCAAATCAAAACAAATAATATGACCTAATAGAAACTCACGGGCAAATTCTTCGTGATTTAATTGTGTTAATTCATTACAATTTAGTCATTTACAGGTCATCAATCAATTGAAGATTTCTTAAACACAACCACAACACGACCTGCGAGAAACTCTTGGGCACATTTTACCACCATAACCTGAGGGTCGCAAATCAAAGACAAGATTATGTGTTTGTTTACAATTGAACCTTTACGTAGCCACTAAATGGACGTATTTATGTTAAATGGAACTATGTGCATAGAATTGCATGTAACATAGTTCCTTTTATCATGAACATTGGCGGATCCAGCAACTTGGCAACGTTGTCTTTTTTTCCATTTAAACCTGTAGAAATGTATCGATTCTTGAAGGGGCATGATTCTCCGACAAAATTCGATTATTTAATATAGGTTTAATTGGAGGTTTCCGGTGTTGCCAAATTTCTGAATCCGCCTCTGATCATGAATACGTCCAAATCAGTCGGGTGGAACAGCATGGCCATTAGCATGCTAATCTTGCATCGGTCACGACATATGGGCTATGTTCTCTTACGATCGTTAGTAAACAAATAAAATGGGGACTTCACATAGGTGAAAGTATAAGTCAGCTTGAGGAGAGACGTGTTTTTCGCGAGGATCCTTTTTGTTTAAAACTTGTCACCAAGTCTGGAAAGTTGGCAACACTGTTTTTTCTTCATTTTAATGCATGTAAAACAATCGATTCTTGGTGCGGCAGCCTGTCTCACCTAAAATCGATATTTTCGATGGATTTAAATGGAGGAATAACAGTGTTGCTAACTTGCTAAATCGCCGCCGCTAGTCACAGTTGTGGTTTATTATCGTCTCTACCAGGGGAGAGGGCGGAGCACTCAACTTTCGCGAGAGTGACTTGGAACAAAATTGATCCGAAACAAACCGACCCACTTTAAATTCTTTCAGCTTTAGTTCCTATCTTGTGATTCCGCGGTACTCTCTTCTGGAAGTACCTCTACTTTTTATGTTCTTTCCGAAAGTTCAAGAGAAACCCTTCACGCAAAAGCTTTTACGTTGCCAAATGAATTAGAAGAGGAGAAGAATGCTATTCTCATTTTCAGAAAAGAAAACAAAAAGAAACCAAGAGTAAGGTTAATTGGACGCACTTATGCCCATAAAGTTTAGCTACAACGTAAGATTTGAAAAATGTCCATATCTGTCAAATCTTCATCACTTTGGAGAACAATTGGACTTCATTTTGCAATTGGGAACTACGTTTATGGTTCATGCGTAGAAATACATTTAAGCATAGGAAAATAAATAGTACATACGTTGTTTCTAAACCGAGCCAAATATTCTAGTTCCTAATTGCAATTGCTAAGAAGATCAAGAGGACTTCATTTTGCAATGAGGAACTACAATTTCTAGCTCGGTTAAGGAACAACTTATTTACCATTATTTTCCCTTTGCATAAAAGTGTTTTTAATGATGAGCTAGATATTGTGGCTCTTAATTGCAAAATATTGTCCAATTGATAACTTCTAGATTTTCGGGCATTTTTCAGAATTTCCGAGCACATCACACTGCAGCGGCATCAGGTACTCTTGCGCAGCATTTTCAGTAATTCCGAAAGTAAAATCGCGGGAAGAAAAAAGTAAACTCGGAAAAAAGAAAGAGAATGAAAAATTGCGATACCTATTCCATTGGAACGTACTTGAAAGCGAATATAGCATGTTTTTTCATCAAACTTGGAGTACAATTATCTGACGTGCTACAGCGTAATATGAGTCTCGGAAATTCTAAAGGAATTATGTAAAACCCAGAAACTATCAATTGATCGATCGACTATGGAATTTTTCTCTGAAGTGCTAAAGAGCCACCTTGAGAGATTCGATTTTATTATTAATCCCAAGTGCTAGAGAACCACCTACGACATCATACTAAAATCTATCAAAACGCGTAAGAGCGGCAACATAGTGACAAATTCATTTCCATCCATAATAGCTCTGTGTTGCTGGGGGGGGGGGGGGTAGAGGAGCTATGTCGCCCCTTTCTTCTACTCAAGTTGTTGAGGGCGGGGACAGCACGCAATCACAAAAGCTCCGACCAATCTTTTCATCTACAAGCTTCTAATTTCGTCTTTTGTCAAATTCTCGTGCGTTTCTTCGGGGTTTATCGCAAACCTCTGTTTGCGATCATGTGCCTTGAATTTTGTTCTCCAGGTAGTATTTTGTACTTGGGTGCCGCAATTATTCCATTTCATCGTTTTAAAGAGAAAGAGAGATAGTGTAAGGGGGAAAATGAGTGGAGGGGTGAGAGGAGAAAGTAGGGGAAACAGGGACAGAAAGTAAAATCGAAAAAAACGGAGCCGTCCGTATTTCGTCACCTCCCGATCAAAGTATTACAAACGCCACGGGATGAGTCAAAACTTCCGCTGTCATTTGATTTTTTTGCTGAGAAATTGATGGTTGAATCTGTTCGAAAATTTCACTGAATTTTGTCGGCAGCACGAAGAAAATTCAGTGAAATTTTCGAACAGCCTCGTTGAACAATTTTTCTATTTAAAAAAAAAAAAAAAAAAAAAAAAAAAAATGGCGGCGGAAATTTTGAAACGTCGCATGGCACTTGTTATACTTTGGCTGGAGGGTGACGATATTCGTCGCAAAGAGCGCTGAAAGCTAGCACATCAACTCTTCGTGGGTCGCGGTCGGACCATCATAAAACGCCTTCAAATGCGTGTGATACTGTGCAACACACCAGAGTTGATATAATTGTATTCTTAGGTTGGAACCTAACTCAGGTAAATTGCTCCACCAAACAAGGCCTGTTAACCTTTTAACTGCTGTATCTCAAGTTATCTCGCATGATTTTTGCCCTAATGAGTCAGTTAAGCTCGGGAGGGATTTGCCTGCATATAGTCGAATCTCACAGTGACGATTTGTTCTTGGAGCGGAGGAGAGGAGGACTAAAATTTGCAAATAATATACAGGAAACAAATTTTAAAATCCAAAGCGGACCTCTAGTGGTACCTCTCTATTACCTCGTTTAGATCGATTTTTCATATAAATAGATGCAGAAAATCATAAGGTATTTTCACTAAATGTCAGACATTTTACTAATCTCAAAAGCGTGAAGCGTGCACCTCACCATCAATGAAATGAAAGCGCCTTCAAGTATTCGAATATGCAATAAGGGTATCCATCGAGCACGAATAGTTGCGTCTACAGGCGCTGTGGGTGAAAGTTGATCGGTACCTACGACGCGACCTCGTGAACGTCTTTCAACCACTTATGACCAATGTCTTTCAACCCATAGAAGCGCCCCATACTATCTATGTCTTTAATGAATATAGCTTTGCCTGTCAATTTCAATAATCCGCAGTCCCCAGTTAACATTGCTCGGACAATAAAAAAATACATCTTGAAAGAACCATGGTTCTTCAAACATCCTAAATGGCGAGATAAGTATTTTATTACCGTACACTGGATAAAAAATACATTGGATCTAGAGTCCATACTCTTAAAAACATTGACAAGAAAAAATACTCTTGATTCAATCGGATTTTTGCTCGAATCAAAACGAAATCCGCTTAAATTAAGAGGCTTGGTTCTTGAATTAAGCTAGATTCTGATTAGAAAAGTACTTTTTCTTGTCGATGTTTTTAAGAGTCTGGACTCTAGATCCCTTTTCCAGTGTACATCATCAAATAATACGTTCAGAGAGTGTATTTCTCTCTGGTAATCAGTTAAAAACTCTGACTCACAATACAAATCTGTCGCTCCTGATATAACTTGAAGTAGAAAGGGAGTCCTTTGAATCTCCGGTATGCTGCTCTGATACCTCATCTATTGTGTTGCATTTCAATGGAGATCCGGATGACGGCGGCAAGGTGGCTTCGTGTGTAATTGTGTATTCAAAGGGTAAACATCCTTGTTTGCCTGCCGCACTCATCCGCTACGAAACTTGTTGAACGAGTGTTGTTGTAAACTTGTTCGTTTCACGGACTCGCCCATCCTCTACCTATCCACAAAGGCTGCTCGTTTAAGGTGGATCTTTATATTTTGCGCGATGCATTTTGGGGCTATCGATTTATCGATAGCGAAACTGCCAAACCACGGATTTCTGTTTGCGACGATGCAAACTTCCTGTCATACTTGCTTTCTTTAATAGAGAACTACTCTGCCGTGCTAAAGAAGAACGCCGTATGAGCCTTTAGAGGTTGCCAAGTTTCCTCCGATAAAAACCGAATTTACTGGAAAAATTGCGGATATTATTTTCCAAAATTTTCAGACGATCTTGTGCGCAATTTAATCTAAAATATCTGAAAATTTCAGGGAAAAATATGCATGATTGTTGTCAAAAATCCATCTTTTATCAAGGGCAATTTGGCAACTCTCGAATGTTCATACGGTGTTCTTCCTTAGCACGGCAGTACTTAACGTTAATATGAAAAAAACAAGGGTGAAGAACGGGAAACAAGGCTAAAAATATAACACTATAATCCCGAGACGTTTGACTAAAAACTGAGTCATTTTTAGTCGGAAAATAAATTAAAAATTAAAAATGTTTCCCTCGGACCTTGGCCGCACCAACATAAAAGTCTCAGGTATTTTCTTCGATATTTTTTAATTTTTAATTTATTTTCCGACTGGAAATGACTCAGCTTTGAGTCGAAACGTCTCAGTTTTTTAGTGTTGTATTTTTAGTACTGTTTTCCGCCCCCCTTGTTTTTTAAAGTTACCATTCCTTCGGGCTTCTTCGTAAAAATTTGTTTTTTAAAGTTAATTCTTAGCAACTTTTGTGATTTTTCCTCTCTATGCGAAACAAATTCTGAGACAACTTCAAGAGGGTTGATATGTTCTGCTTTGACAAATAAAACAGGAGTGGAGATTTTTGAACATCGCAAAAGAGATAAGTGGTTTGGGAGTTTCACCATCGATATTTCAAATTTTAACCATTTGGGTGGATTATTTTTGGGAAGCCCACATTTTGGAGAAAATTTCAAGGAGTGACGTCAATGTGTTAAAAAAATAAAAAAATGACAAAAAATATAAAAAATTTTTTTTAAAAAATTTAAAAAATAATAAAAAAATTAAAAAATAATAAAAAATACAAAAATGAAAAAAATTGTTTAAAAATTTAAACAATTAAAAAAGGAATAAGATAGAAAAATAAGAGAAAAAATAAAATACGACTTACCGCATCTGTTGACAGTGTAGTCTTGTGACGTCATCGTACTTGTGATACGTGGCTTGGAAGAGAAGGTAACTGTCAGCCCACTCCACTTGAACGCGCAGCTGTCCTTTCGCCGTCAGGTATGGACAGCCCGGTTCTCGCAGCTGAAACAAACCACCAATCAATGAAATTTTCCGTAGTACAATTACCACAAGCTTGATGCGCAGGAATGTTCCTTTCCATATTCAGTAGAATGAGGACGAATCGACAACAAACCCAAATTTCAATGGATAATATTCTTATACGGCGAGCTTGCTATGCAGAAATGCTTTTTGCATAGTCAGCAGATTGAAGGCGAATATCCGGAAAATACAAATTCAATCACAAGAATTTGTATACGGCAAGTACGCAAGCTTCCTCAGCGAAAATGCTTTTTGCATATTCAATAGATTGAAGGCGAATCGACGACAAATCCTTTCAATCAAAAGATAATATGGGGGGGGAGGGGAGTCTGATATTCAACTCCTGAACAACATATTATTGTTTGCTATTAACATTTAGTTAAATGGTAAAAATATAAATGTATAATCGAACTTCCATTTGATCTGTGTTTAAAAGATTTTATAATATCTCGTTCTGCAGTTGATTTTAGGACTTCCCGTTGTGAGCATTGGTTTTTATGTAAGATTTTGAAGAAAAGCACGTGACTATAAGATAACGATCGAATTTTTAAAAAACATTAAAAGCTGTCGTATTAATATTTCGAACATTCAAAAAAAAAAAAAAAAACACGAAATAATGATAAAACACGTGACGTCCTCTTTTACTTCAGACTTTGTCTAGAGGCTCATTCAGAATCGGCTCGATGCAAGTTTGTTCCTTCGTGTCGGACTCGATCTTCCACGTAAGCGGAACAACCCTGCGGAGCACGGACGAAAAAGTTTAAAGTTGGATGAAGTCGGGAGCCCTAACCCTAAAAAGTTGCAGCGCGGAATATGAATAAGACACGAGGCCGCAATCAGGGCTGCCAAATTCGGGGCCCGCGCGTGGAGAACCTCGAGTCCTCCGATGAGAGAGGGATTTTGAGAGGGATTTTCGCGCGCTGATATGACAGACTGAACCAGGAACGTGGCTATTCATTCAGGGTTCCATCAGTCATTTCAGAGTCACCATGCAGCGGAGTTGCCAAAAACTGGGGCAGAAAATGAAGGCTGATAGAGGTGTCGTCCGATGAGTTGGCATTTGTTGACTTTTGGTTTGTAAACGCAGACGACGAATTTACGCCTCTGCACAAAGCGGCGCTCGCTACTATCCACCTTAAAAACATCCGTCTCATGATCGTGGCGTAAGAAAACTACTTATCAGTTATGAATGAGTGAATGAATTTATTTTCGTTTTAGCGTACAATAGGTAACAACAGACAAATAGGTACTAAACAAAAAAAAAACAAAAAACGATAATAAAACACCCACTAATGGCACTCGGCGATTGTGTCGGATGGAGCCTCTTTGTTTGATTTTATTTCGTTTCATTATTTCACCTTTTTTGTCCCTTTTCTCCCTTCTTTTTATTATTTTTTTACCCACTTCCCCTCGCTTATCACTCACGAAAAGATGAAATTGCTGATTTAACAATTTTGTAGTCATTTGGTAGGCTAAGGAGGGTATTTATTAGATTGACATGAATTGACTAATAAATAAAAACGGACAGATCGACATCGTTTCACCCGAACCGGGTTTGTCGATCGATTCACGGATTTTTTCGATAGATTCTCGACTTTGTCAATCACTTCCTGGAAAGGTCGGTCGATTCACGGGTTTGTCGATCGATTCACGGGTTTCGATCGAATCGTTGTAGATCGAATCACGTCGATCACTTTATCGTTAAACCTGGCAACCTTGAGTTCCCTTCGTAAACTTTGAACTCGAGGCTGTGTCTCAACCTGCCTCGGTTAGTCTATTCCGTAAAAGTTCCTCCATTTCCGTCTCGATTCGTCCATCCACTAACAGTGGCGAGGCGTGAATGATCGATAATCCCCCATTTGTAGTGTTAATCGATTCTTTTCTATAGGTTTAAATGACAGATCAATCGATCCATCGCAAAGCACGCCCCGCCACTGCCCCTCCCCACCTCTCAATAGCTAGAAAAGTTTAACTCAATTGGAAGTATTCAACTTCGAAGTCAATACGGTGATTTATGCAATGTAGGTGGATTATAGGTTCGTCCATTCGAATTGACGAGGAGACACACAAAGCAAAGTTTTCTGCAAATCAAAAGTTAATACACGAGTTAAATTTTAAAAACCTCCACTTTATTCGTGAGGTTTACTTAGGTTTTTGCAAGACAACAGAGCTGTGTGCTAGCAACAACAACAACCATCACCAATGTTTATTCAATATGAAGGGGCTACGCCCCCTGACCGATTTACGGTCCAACCTTCAGCGCCTCGGGCCTCAAATGTTATGTGTTAAGCGTTACTCTTATGGTATACTACATTACATTATAGAGTATGCTTTGTTTAAGGGTAGTATTTAAGGAATCTCTAAGAAATTTCGAAAGGCTTATTATGGCCCGTACCTTCTCTATTTTCTACACACTCACTGGAAAAGAAAGTTTCTTGGATCTAGAGGTCACACTCTTAAAAAAATTAACAAAAAAATTATCTTCATTCAATCGGATTTTTGCTTGAATTAAGACCCGATGCGAGCTTCTTAATTAAAGCGGATTTCCTTTCGATTCAAGCGAATATTCGATCGAGTCGAGAGCATTTTTTTCTTGTCAACTTTCTTAAGAGTCTGGACTCTAGATCCTACAGACTTTTTTCCCCAGTTTTTAGTTTGTTTGAATCATCTACAGCCTTCATTGGAAAATATTTGTCCTGGAATGAATTTGCAACCTCCTTTCTCTTAATGATATTCAAAAAGGATTGCGGGGAATGTGTCAATAACGCGCTTATATTTTTAGGCGCCCCCAGAAATAAGTTTTAAGTAAGTCTAAAATGACAAAATATCTACGTCCACTACTTTCAACGATAGTTGTTCGTGAATCGCACCCCTTAAGAGAAAAAAAGCCGAGTGTCCCCGGATTTGTGACGGCTGAGAATTTTAATTTTATTCATTCAGGAACATAGGATAGTGTGACGTCATTAATCTCCGAAGAGGCCTCCAAGTTTCTTTTCGAGCCGCCCTTTCAAATGGTTAGGTGCTTCAGGGCCCTGTTGCCGAGTTTTTTAAAAAGACTTCCATTTTACGGGTGATAGATTCCTGTTGCGCGACAAATTTGAGGGGCGAGCCTATTCTCGCAGCACAGGTACAAGACTACCGTGATAGCGGAGACAGCAGTAAGTGTAAAATTTTCGAAATTGAGTATCCTTCAAAATTCGTCTCAACTCTTTCAGAGGAAATCAATAAAATAGCTAAAACAGCAAAATTCAACTTAATTTTATCAAAACGAAACAGACGAGAAAGCCGTAAGTGCAAAAAAAATGAATAGTTTCGGGCAAGACAGCAGTAAGTAACAATATTCCTCCCTCAGAGCCAACGAAAACAATGCTTTCAAGTAAAGCTCCGCCCTCTTTTGCCAATTCTTAAACTGAAAATGTGCTTGTTGTGTGTCCAAAACGCAACCACGAGAGCATGTAGACGATAGCACTTACGGCTGTCTTGGCTAACAATAACCTAGCGTGAAAATGAAAAATACCCTATTTATATAATGGAAATAAAATCAGTTGATTTTTAATCATCCAAACGATTCCTAGGAGTCTTTCGGATGATTAGTGGCAATTTGACAAAGAACAGAGGCTTCTTTCGATAAAATGTTCCTCTCAGTCGCTGGTGAGACAATTTCTCAAAACTTCAATTTTGTACCCATGGTTCTCTTCGCTAAAATGGCAGAGTATTCCACTACCGGCGATTCGTGCCGTGAAACGCGAGTGGACGGGGTGCACCTCATAACTTGGTGTCTGTACACTCCAGCAGGCGCAGAGTAGGCAATTTGCGCATCAGGATTTATGCGTAACGGTGTAGCGTTTGAAGTATCCCTAGGATGTCGAAGGCGCTATATGTGGTCCGCGCGGGTGAGCCTTTCATTGCCCGCGACAATTATTATTTGATTACGCCGATTCGAAGCAGAATTCGTGGTATCCTCTTTCTGATGCGATTTTTGCTATATGCCATCAAACGCATTTCATTGCCCGATGCACGTCAAGTGGCTTTTTCGCGTTTTTAATGTGCGCATCATATATATAAGCTCCAAGACCTCCTAAATAAGCAAATCTGGTAACGCTTAGTTCCAGCGTTCTACCGGACCGATTTTCTTGATTTTTCAGGCTATCAACAGGCAATTGTCTTTAGATGAGCTCGTTATATTCAGATTTGAAAATATGACCCAGGTTTTTTTACATTACGCGGTAAAGTTACGAATTCTCCCATTTAAACATTATAAATTTTTAATTTTTGTCATAGTTCGTTTAAGCGTTCTACTGGACTGATTTCCATAATTTTTGCGGTTATCGACAGGTGATAGCCCCTAAATGAGCTTTCTGTATTCAAATTTCGGAAATATGACCCACATTTTTTTATAATTGAGTATACCTGGGAGCTTCTGATCCCGTTTTCTCAAAACTCCATTTTTGCACTAACTGCACTCTTTGCTATCATGGCAGCGTAGACCCTATTTTTTTAAAAAGAATCTAATCTGAGAGGATGATTGGCGGCAACGATGGAGGGTGGAATGACGGTGACCCAGTTGTGCGTTGGGGTCGGAGTCGGAGACGGGTGGTCAACAATATTTCCTTCCCGATGACAGGGTGCCACCACTCCACCACTCGGCGCAGCGGCGGAAAATAGTCACCCACCTCTGAGCCCGCTCTCGCTTTGTCTCCTCAAAAGAGATCCGCGCCTATGGAAAAAGTTCCCCGGTCGAGCCGCGGCGCGAGAAATTGAATCCTGGGCCAGGTTGCAAAATTTACACTCGCATCTGTTGGCATAGTAAAAGTGGACGTATTTATATCAAACAGACCTATGTGTAGGTGAGAAATATGGGGTGCGCTCGTTAGTTCTCTGGCCGTAAGAGTGAATGAGAATAATAAAGCGCCAGTGACGTCAGCGGCAATGATCAATCCGATTTGCGAGGAGGAGATCGTCGTCGGGGCGTTGTAACGCAT